ATTAGGGGTGTAACGATTAATCGAATTCTCGATTAATCGCGATTATGACCGTTCGGTTCGATTCACGATTATTTGATTCCACGTTTCGATTTTGGTTCGATTTTTTGCATACCTTTCCAAAAGTGCCCTCAGTGAGTCATTATATTGTAAACTTAGAATCCAGATCTCAATAAGATGTTCGTTTTTCATTGACAATCGATCAAAGACGCTAATTTGCAGTTCTTGCGCCATGTTGCTTGGTAAAAATCCCGGGGTAAAAATGTTGCCCCTCTACCACCCCCTGAGAATTTCCAAATAAGGCAAACCATGTGCGTGCTCACAAACATGGCGGACAACACGGCGACGAATGGCCAAGCGATTGTGAATCCGCCTGCTTCTTTTCGATACGCAGTGTGGAAATATTATGGTTTTCCGACTAAAGACGGAACAACAGACAAGTCTAAAACTATCTGCAAAATTTGCTTCGCAACTTTCAAGTATTGTGCCGGTTCGACTTCAAGCATGAGCGCTCACTTAAAAAGTCAACACAGTATTGATGAAAAGTCAGAAGTGTTGCAGTCAAAGACGGCAAAAACTTCACCGGGTACCAAAAACAGTACTGGAACAGGACAGTCAAAAATTCAGGATGTTATGAAGAATAAGTTGCCGCGGTCGGGCAACAGAGCAACGGCAATAACGAAGTCTATTGGAGTTTTCATTGCAAAGGACATGAGGCCCTATTCAGTTGTGGAAAATAAAGGGTTTCAACACATGATCAACGTTCTGGAGCCAAGGTATGACTTACCAAGCAGAGTTCATTTTTCTGAGAAGGTGATACCTAAACTTTACGAAGAAGTCAAAGCAGAAGTCGAATCAGACCTTAAAAGTGCCGAGTTCGTGGCTTTAACAAGTGATGGATGGACATCTAGATCAACCGAAAGCTACATAACAGTTACCGCACATTTCATCCAAGAATGGAACATTAAAAACTATGTTTTGCAAACAAGAAGAATGGATGTGTCACATACATCGGAAAACTTATCAAATATACTGACTTCAGCTATATCTGAGTGGAATTTACAAAGATATGAACAGAATCCATCTCTGACATCTGACAATGCCAGCAATATAGTGAATGCTGCAAAGCAAGCTGAACTTTCACCACATGTTGGATGTGTGGCCCATACAATCAATCTGGCAACCCAAAAAGGACTTAAGGTATCTCAAATGGACAGGCTTCTTGGAAGGATAAGGCGCATAGCAAGCTTTTTCCATAGGAGCACAACAGCTATGGCAGTTTTGAAATCAAAACAAGCTTTATTGGAATTGCCACAACACAAGTTGATAAATGATGTACCAACTAGGTGGAACTCCTCATATGACATGGTGCAGCGGTTTTTAGAGCAACAGGCAGCAATTGAAGCTGTCCTCTTGACAAAGGATGTCAAGAAAAATGCCAAAGATGTTCATTTCCTGTCAGAAAATGATATCTCTGCAGCAGAGAGTGTCATCAATGTACTGGGACCAATCAAGACCATTACTACTATCCTTTGTGATGAGAAGACGCCTACAGTATCCATGATTCACCCTCTGAAGGAGATGCTGATTCAGCAGTTGAAAGTTTCAGATGATGACATTATGCTTGTTAAAGAAGTAAAAACAGCTATAGCAAAGGATTTGGATGCTAGGTTTGGAAACAACTGTTTGTCTAGTATGTCTACAGATTAAATAATAATTATTATATCCAAATTATAAAGAGTCTTCCCAATAAAGGTTTTTGTTAGAGCTTTCTGTCGCAAATAAACATGCTGCAGTGCTATTTGAGTTGCAAAATGTAGTTTACAAATTGTTCTCATATTCTAGATATACAGACCTTGACACATTGCAGTTTCTGAAGGAGAGTTCCTGTTTAGATCCAAGGTTTAGATCCATGCCATATCTTGATGAAACCGAGAAACTAGATGTCTACACTGTACTTACCTTGAAAGCAGTCTCACTGAATGAGCAACAACAAAATTCAGTTCAGGTTCGTAAAAATTGGAAATTTTTAACAGCCAACATTTACTGCTTGTACTGACGGTACTGAGTTGAGTTACAAACATATTAAATGATAATAGAGTGTTTTTCTGTTCATAGGTGAAGACTGAAGCAGACCAGCCTAGTGCGCAGGGACAGCCACAGCTGCCCAATTTGCCAAGTCTACCAACTCTGGAGGGTGAACATTCAAATTCCAGTGGAGACACAACTGTTGTCCTCACAAGTGATCCCCCACCAGAAAAGAAAAGGAAATCTGCCTTGGATGATCTTTTTGGAGATGTTTTTATAACTAAAGTTCATCCTGGGAAGTCAGTGTTTCAGTTAGTTGAGTCAGAGTTGGCTAATTACAAAGTTGAAGAAACCATGCCTTTGAACTCTAATCCATTGTTGTGGTGGGAAGCAAATGAGCTGAAATATCCCATTTTGTCAAAGTTGGCCAAAAAATATCTATGTGTCCCTGCCACATCAGTGGCCAGTGAGAGGGTTTTCTCTTCTGCAGGGGACATTGTGTCTGCTCAGAGGTCATGTTTGCATAGTGATCATGTAGACAAGTTACTTTTTTTACAGAAAAATATGAGAGTGCACTAGATCTAGATTCTAGAAAGAACTCAAAAAAGAACACTGACAAATTGCATGTTTTTTATTTGTTATTGCATCCTTGAAATAGATTAATAATGTTCCTGTTACTATTGTATCCTCACATTGAGAGTTTAGGGTTGTATGTTGTTACATTGTGTATCATCTTGCAAGAATTAAAAATCATTAATATTTTGCATAATCGAATCGAAATAATCGAAACCGAAAGGCAATAATCGAAATCGAATCGAATCGAAAGAAACATGAATCGTTACACCCCTAGTAAAGATGGAAGTGAATTGGCCAAATCACAGGCCATATCTCTTGTGTCAGTTACACATTTTAAACAATTCATCAAATTGTTAAAGTTCAGAAAATAAATACTTATCTAGATTGTATCTTCTGAAGATCCTCTTTGTTATTAATATGGTGAACCNCTTGTCTTCTTGATATTGTATTGTCATTGTAAGGAGAAATTCTGTCTTGGTCACTCGTGGGAGTTAAAGAGTTAATTAAACTCCTAAGAGTGATAAGCATCTAATTCTCCCAACAATGTCACCCCTGAATCAAACAATTAAGGTCACGAGAATATTTAAAATGACCACAACTTAGAAAGCTCTTGATTGTTCAGAAAACATTCTCCATGTCAGCACCTTAGGAAATGTATAAGAGAAGAAGAATGCCGATGTAAGGATGTAGTGGGTTAAAGATGCTCAAATTTCAACTTCTAAATTGCATTTACTTTCAAAAATTCTTTGATTAGAATGACTGCAGAGCTGATGAACATGAGGCCTGAAATTAACAAAAAAATCCTTTATCAGCTTTTGGCGTGTAATAGGCAAAAGTGGTGCAAGTAGATGACTTTTAGTTGCCACTTTTTTAAACTAGAACTTAAAGTGCTATTTAACCCTAGCTTTGAAGGACCATTCATTCCTGAATGACATTTTGCAACAAATGCGAGTATTGTATTAATTTTTTGCAGTTTGTATATATTTTTAACAAAGTTAAACTAAGTTAAAAGTTGCCTTTCAACATTCTAATTTATTCTCTCCATTCAGGAAATTGAAGAAGCATGTAAGAGACTGAAGAAGGAAATTGATAACCTGGGACATGAAGTAGGCAAGCTCCGCTGCATCCCTCTATATGCAACTCTTCCTCCACAGCAGCGCATCTTTGACGCTCCTCCAGCAAAACGCCCTAATGGTGCTATTGGGCGCAAGTGTGTGGTGTCCACCAACATTGCTGAAACATCTCCTACCATTGATGGTGTGGTGTTTGTGATAGATCCTGGATTTTCCAAGCAGGTCTGTCTTACTTCAGTATTTGGTCACTGTCTACTTTTCGCAAAGTATTTTACCGTTTTTCTTGTCTCTTAACAAGCATGGGACAAAGAAAACGTTCTGAGTTCCCTTAAGGAATCCAACCCCAGACCATTGAATTCAGTGTGTAGATTTAACTCCTCATGGGGTCTAAGAACTTTTTCTCTGTCCCATGTTTGTGACAAGATCAAAAAATATCAATCGCTTTTTCTTACAAAGCTCAAAAATATACATCTTTCTAATTCTGCATATAATTATTTTATTGTTCCTTATCAATGTTGACTGAGTATAAAGTCATTTTGTCTTTGGTTTGTCTATAATAGGTGTACAATCCCCGTATCCGTGTGGAGTCACTGTTAGTTTCTGCTATATCAAAAGCCAGTTCACAGCAGAGAGCTGGCTGTGCTGGTCGTACATGTCCTGGCAAGTGTTTCAGATTGTACACAGAGGAAGCTTATCAAACTGAAATGCAAGACAATACCTACCCTGAAATCCTGAGGTCCAACCTTGGTACTGTGGTGCTACAGCTGAAGAAGTTGGGCATTGAGCTGAACCACG